AGAGTCGTAGAATACGACCCTTAAACTCTAAGAGTTCTAGAATACGACCCTTAGGTTCATATTCCAGAACTCTACTCAATATTCAAGTCAGGACTTGAGTATTGCAGTGAGCACTGAAAATCATACTCAAGGCCTTGCCATTAGGGTCGTATTTCCAGTGCTTGGGTTCCACTCTATAACTCTAGAGTTCTAGAATACGACTCTTAGGGTCGTATTCCAGAACTCTACTCAATACTCAAGTCAGGACTTGAGTATTGCAGTGAGCACTGAAAATCATACTCAAGGCCTTGCCATTAGGGTCGTATTTCCATTGTTTAAAATCATACTCAAGTCTGCTCAAATCCTGATTTGAGCATTGAGAGAGTTCTGGAATACGAACCTTAGTTTTTAATTGCTTGCAGTGACAGTGTCACTGCGTAGTTTTTTATTTGAAGGCCAGCTCACAACACTCACTGTTTTATGAAATTAACCAGCATTTCAAACTATGTCCCATTTCTTTTCATTTTAATTACAATACAATCACAAATTTCAAGACACCAACTTCGTAATCGTAATAATAATAATACGCGGGCATCAGGGGGTCTACTCTCGATCTCCGTCAGACATCCGTCCGAAACAATTACTGTCAAATAAGTAATATTCCACACAATTAAAAGACAAGTATGAAGTATGAAGTTTCATTCGCATCACGTGTCTTTTCATTTGGTCAAGTATTGCTTATTTGGCGGTAATTGTTTCGGACGGAGATCGAGAGCAGACCCCCAGACTCCAATAATGTCCAGTTGTCAAGCGTTTCGAGATTTTATGTCTCTTTTATTTTCGCGAGTAAAAATTAAATATAAATAAATATGTTCTTTCATAAAAATTATTACCCAAATAAATTGAGTAGAACTCACGACACAGATCAAAGCACAGATAAAATCATATTATTAATTTAGTTGTATTAATATCATAGCTGGCAACTTACAGGAATTAACTTTAAGTTTTTTTCCTGTAAGTTGGCGATTATCGCCAAAGTCATCGGTGTTTAAAAATAAACCATAATACAGTGGAAATAACACATTGACTTACAAATAAATGGACGACGGGTCTAATACAAAAACCACGAAAAAAATGTCCCAAGTCAACCTATTCGAAATTTAAATTGTAATGTCATCGCAGTATCGCGCTGTCAGTAGAACAAATGAAGACTAAAGCGGAGTGTCGCGCTCTGTATACGATTTTAGCGCCTTACAAGTGCGGACACTTTTTAGCGCGGACCCGACGTCCATATAATTGTAAGTCAATGAAATAACATTTAAATTTACGTGAACGCTATTCAATGATAACCCGATAATCTTCGGGTTGTGTGCCGCCTATATACTCGATGGGGCCGCCATTATTAGGTCGTATTCCACTATGTTTTTTTGCAAATGTGTGAAAACAAAAATTTTAAAACCAATGAGATTACATTCCACCGGCTGTTTGCATTTTTAGTTACTATTTCTATTATTATTTAATGTTTAAAATTTTGTCTCCATAGAAATTTCTAGACTCAAATATAGTGATGTTCATTTACGGAGACTGATGTTTATCGACAATAAATTTTTACTGAAATGTTTGAATTTCTTACTATAATTTTTGTAATTAAAGTCCCTAAAATGTCGAAGGGAAAAGCATTCACGTTAAATTGATTTCTTTTATTTTATTATTATTACTATTACTAAACATTTTATTTCGAGTAATTTTAACACACAAATATTTCGGACAACCGTTTCAATTTCATGTCAATTTGGATGTTGCTGTTGCTTGAAGAAAAATTTATGTGTTTTAGATATTTAAATTCTATTATACTCGTAGATTAAACGTAGAGTATTTTTAATTTTAAAGTTTTTCCAATGAGTTTAAAATAAAAGAAGGTTGGATTGAAGCTGCAGGAAAATCGAAAGATTGGTTTTCTTATTACTATTTCTGACTTTGTTTCAATTTCAATAGAAAATGCATTTAAAAAATAAATAAAATAAAATCGGCTTTATTTCACATGTGCATACAAAATAAATTAGAAACAATTATAGAAAATTACATAATTCTTCATAAAAAAACAACATAATTTAATTTATTAACTTCATTGATGGCTCGAGTTCACTCTTGACAGTGACAGCTTCAGCAACCCGTGTTAACGTATTATGGAAAATTGACACTGGCGACGATCGCCATATTTTTTATATTATTATTATAATACTGGCACTGGTCCTAGCCTAGTGGCCGCCATTAAGAAAATAATAATTTATATTAATATATTAATTTAATAATACACTAGTACCAGTGTAGATGTAGTATGAAAAATGGAATATTTTTTTTTAACATTAAAAACAGCCACATGGTTTCCAACTATCGATTAGGTAGGACCACATCCCTCGTTGAGTAGCGTCAGTTCAAGGTTAATAATTCACGGAGCGGTTTCCATCCGCGGCCGCCGGTGCTGCTAGACAGCGGTTTTATTTCAATACTTACGACCCTGCAAGTTTGTGCGGGCACGTAGCTGCCGTGGTTGCGGGCACGAAACCGTTGCGATTGCGGAACGGACCGCGAAGTTAGTGGGAGTTAATTGCAAGTTGCGCGGTTAATAGAGAACTTACCCTGCGTGCGCCTGCACCACATTGCGCCTGAACCGACCGCCAAAGTGTGCGGGCGACGACAGCCGCCAAGCGCGCAGGTTATCGCGTCCTGCGCGGTTCTATTAGTACCCCGCCGCGGCAACCGCGAGCAACCGTCACCACTACAGGCGTAAAACACGCCGTGAAAGGTGCTACTAATTTTACATACTTAACTGTTACACAACTGTGACATCCTAGCCAAGACACAGTTTGGCTTCAGGAAAGGTTTCAGCACTATAACTTTATATTTATTATTTACTATAACCTTAGTTTGTTAAGTACTGAAATCCATATCGCAAAGGAAAAGAAATACCTTGTTGGAGTGTTTTTCGATATCGCCTCAGCATACGACGTCCTGCTTTCGGTACTCAGGAGAAAACTGACCTTCAGTATTCCTAATAAGCTTGTTCGTTTTATTTCCAACCTGCTAATGGAGAGTCGGGTGGTAGTAAAGTCTTCCCAAATTCCCTGTCCCCGAAAACCGTCTGGAACGGTCTTCCCCAAGGATCTGTTTAAATTCTGTTACTTTATAGTCTGTATACTTACGATCTGGAGTCATCAGTCAATTCATTCTGCGATGTACTCCAATATGCTGATGATTTGGCTCTATATGTTAAGGTAAGCTCTGTAGAGGAGGCGGAAAATAGACTGAACTCGGCTCTGTCATTTATGACTGGTTATTGGAACATGGCCTATCCCTCTCCCCTTCCAAAAGTTGTCCCATAGTCTTCTCCAGGAAAAGAGTGTTATCCCTCCGATTGAAATTCGCATAGGCCAAGAAATCGTTCCACGTTTTAGGTATTATGCTAGATTCTAAAATGACAGGTATCCCTCATTTCGAACATATAGCACTTAAATGTGAGAAAAATATTAATGTTCTACCGTCCATTTCAGGAGTGTGCTGGGGTTCGCATCCATACTCCCAAAAACTTTTGTACAATGCGATAGTTCGCAGTCATATATATTATGGATCTTTTCTCTTAAACCTTACTAATAAATCTGGACAAGATGAAATTGCAAAAATTCAATAAAAATCTCTGCGAATTATTCTAGGAGGCATGAACTCCTTGCTCATTATTGCTATGCAGGTTGAGAGCGGGGAGCCTCCCCTGATATTCGCAGACACTTCCGATAGATTCCTTTTCAAACTGCTACAAAATTCAAAACATCCTCTTCTTTCAAATTAAATCGTCTCTTTGACATATTCGATTCTCGGATTATGGACAAACCGTGCCTTCTTCAAAGATTCATTAAATTTACCCAACTCCCCTCCCCACTCAATCAAATTCTTCGCAATCCATTCTATTGTACTTCCAATGAAACTCGTTTTCCAGCCCAATATTCTTCTTCACTTCGTCATAGAGAAAGACTCCATTGACCCTTGTGGCATTTTTAACCAAATCGCACCATATTTACTGATGCTTCAAAACTCTCAGCATTAAATCCTCTAGGAGCAGCAGTATGGATCCCATCTGCTAAGATAAGTTTAAGCTTCAAATGCCCTGCATACTCTTCGGTATTTACTGGGGAAGCAATCGTCCTCCTGGAAGCTGTTCTGTATGTCAAATCTAATAAACTCAATAACTCCATCATCTTCACCGATTCCAAAAGTTGCTTTCAATCCATCCTGTCAAATCCTTTCCACTCTTCCTTCCGGTTCCCAGTCATCCTTAAGATTAAAGAGGCCCTATTAGATTGCCATAAGCAGGGTATAAAGGTGGTGCTAGACTGGATCCCTGGACATGTGGGAATCACAGGCAATGAGACTGCTGTGCTAAATTAGCTTCCCGCATTGGATCTACGAAACACTCGAACCTGTTCGCCCATGAATGCTTACTTCCAAAATAAATACGTTCGTTCCTATTTTACGATTAAATGAATTTTGTAAATTAGATTAATAGTAATAATGTCTATGTGCGTTATTTATTTAAAAAAAAAAAAAAAAAAAAAAAAATAGTCCACTTACAACCATTCAAAATGTTAAAGGATATCTTAATATAGCGCCTTAAAATCCAGTTCTCCGAAACAAATATTTTTTCAATATTTTTCCCATACTTTCTAAAATATTAACAACAATCTCTGGAAGTTTCATAAAAATATTCTAAAAAGGTCTTTCAGTAGGCAGGAGGTTAAAGCGATTATAGGGGGTAAACGACTTAAATTTTGTTGTAATATTCATTATCCTTCTCTTAAATTTTGTTGTATTTGTATATTCATCATCCTTCTCTGTAGTACGGAACTACTACGGAGTACTGTTAATACCATCGTCAATGCCGTTGAAATGCAGCACTATAGCGCACTATAGTTTATATACATTTCACATCTGTGAAGAAATTAATTTTCTATATGTTTACTATTTTATAGGGCTGCTATTTGCTGTTTGGGCAGTATGTATGAAAAGCTGGGGAGAATGATGGGCAGATCATATGAGGAGACCGTGACGACACTCGTGAGATCACTCAAGAGCGCAGAGTCCCAAACGCGTTTGGAAATTATGACTACACTTGAAAAGGTAAAAATATTAGTACAGTAATTTCCACGAATTTAATTCTGTTTTTAAATGGTTAGTGGAAAAATACAAAAATACATTTATTTAAAACTTTACATACGGAATTCATAACCATATAGTCGCTTTTTAAACTTTTTAACCTAAAATTACCATACATCCGGATTTGTCCAACATGACTGGCTTTTTTATCTGTCCGGATTTGTCATTTGTTTAGGTTTTTCGTATTGGGGTAATAATTTACAGAATAAAAACTCTATCCTCCTCCATCAATTAAAAATGCGCACTTTCTTGCAAAATGTCAGGCTTTTAGTCTGGACTATTCAAACTTTGGAATGGTAACCCTATTTGAACCCCATGCGAATGACATAATGTCGTAGAATTTTCAACAAAAGGTGAGATTGTTTGTAAAGCTCAAAATTGTTTGTCAGAAAATACATTTGTGTGAGTTCGTATATCGAGTTGCATAAAACATTTGGAGTATGTACCCATCAAATTCCGCGATAAGTTACTTTTACCTGTAAACTGATACGTTTAGTCTTTTACATGGCGCAAAGGACATGAACGTACATTTAAGTTTCTATGTGATATGGCTTTAAATTTGCAAGTGACTGCGCAAAGGAGATGCTCCAAAAAGGTTAATTAATGCATTTTGAAAAGAAAAGTACAATTTAATGTCGTAGCCTTTTTCATTGTAGATAAATAAAAAATATAAAAAGAAATGGTTGTTTTTTTTACTTTAATTGGATTCGTTTCATGCTTCAAACGATTTATGTGGAAGGTATTACTTACTTCGCTGGCTCAGCGACCCGAAGTGGATCTTGGCCTCCGACACCAAAGTACGCTATTTCTGCCGGTCTTGTGCCTATTCCGAAAATTCGTACACATTCAGTCCCTTTAAGTCTTTGGCGACTTTATACTTCCAGCGATATTTTGGACGGCACTTGGACTGTGAAATGTATTAGTTAGTGTGCCAATTCTTATAAAGTACGGGCCTTGGTATTATCTGTACACATTATGATGAGTGAGCTGGTTTCGAACACGCTTCAGTGGATGCGATAACAAGGACTGTTAATTACATATTCTGTTACTTTCAATTTATAACTTGAAGGAAACAACGTAATTTGCCGTTTGCTAGTCCATACTCTGGGCCAAAAACTCACCTACCTAATAGTAGCGAAAGGTAATTATTTTCAAAGGGTAAGCGGTTCCAAATAAAGCATAGGTTTCTTGTCAAATACACTCAACGCATTGAAATGATTATATGAAGAAAAATCAATCAAGGTCCATTAAAAATGCAATTGCAATTTTCAAATACATGTAAATGTAACTTTGAAATAATCTCAGTACAGAGTACTAAAAAAACCGACCTCAAAAGTTCGTGGAATTACATCTATTTGCCAAGTTTTATTGACATCGGTTACCGGAAAGTGCGCGAAACCGGATTCATCCCCTAATTTGCTACTCTTAGAGGTGGAATATTTTCTATAAATTGAATTGGGACCATTACTGAGGTACCCTCGCTCCTACAACAAAGTTTCATCAAAATCGGTTCACAATGCTGGTTATCGCGTAACATAAATACAAAAAACATACTGTCGAATTGAGAACCTCCTCCATTTTTTGAAGTCGGTTAAAAAAGTTAAATTTGATCAAGGACTACTTAGTCCTTTTACATTCTATATCATATTGTATAAGTAATGATTTAATAATGTTGGAAAATAACAGTAATGAAAGCCAGTGCAATGAGTATAATAAAATAGTCTATCTTCTCTTTACTGTGACACTTCATTAGTAAAATTTGAAATCATTAATATGTATATAACTTAATTAGTGCTAAACTCATTTCATCCAATAATTTCAATTTACGATAACTGGACCACTATACCTTAAATTTCTTAGTTCATGTAACGAGCAGAGTTAATACATTTCTGTGCGATAACTTATTTGAAATGTGTGTTCGATAATCGACTTTTCTTTTTGTAGATATGCGTTGGCATGGGCACTGCGGCACCGGCGGCTCTTCGCGAAGTGTCGCGAGCGGCCCGAACAGCCCTTCTCTCGGACCGCGCCGGGTCGGTTCGGGCTGCTGCAGCCCACGCGTTACGACACATGTTACCTCTTATACGACTTACACCAGCAGACTTGGATACCATAGCCGCAGCGTGTTTGAGAGCGGCTCTCCAAAGTGATTATACGTTAAGGTACGGCACTTATTGAATTCAGTTGTCAACAACCTTTCAATATTATTTTTGCGGGTTCGATTCCCGAACCGAGAGAAATATTAGTATGACCTACATTAATTTATCTCGTGAGTTTGCGTGTAATTTTTGGTTATCTACGTGGGTGTCCATGGGACCGGGGATACCGGGTTTCCCTAGTACGGGGCTATGAGTGTGTGCGCATTGTTGTTGTTGTTATGTACCCGCTAACACGTTGTATTTAGGACCTGAGACAAACCTTCCCAAGAACGCCTTGCCAGAGAACAAATAAGTAATGAGAACGGACACTCTCCGCCCCTCCCTAGCTTTAGATACCGGACCACGCCCCGCACATTGACGGTCACATTGACTGAACGAGTACAAAGCTGTCTGCGAGCCGTTTTCGCTCTAAGACGGCTTTGATATTTGAATATAGTTTTCATTTATTCATTACGAAATTTGTACACATCATTTTACGTTACTATTTACAATGGTCGTGAATTGTGCTGTGTACGGCTGATTATATACATCTAAACGGGATAACGAGAGGAGTTTGTCGTTTTTTGAAAGATGAAACGAAGTAAATAAAAAATGTCTGAGACTCATTCATTTATTGTTTTCTTTAGTGCAGAGTAATATATAATACAGATTTATTATATGAATATAATAAGACATGGCGTCTTATTATATGCCACTTCACGCACACATTCGCGCGTGTGCAGATAGCTCCTTGCTGTATGTAGTAGTAGTAGGTAAATAATTTTCGACTGTTGTATGGAGTGTCCGGGGTGTGACCTTGCTTTACATTTAGTTAAACGTGACCTTACACTTTAGGACTTGTGCAATAATGTGGCCTGTAATTTTATCAGATGTGCTGTTGCTGAGTTACTTGGTGCTTTGATGGCCGCTTCACAAGCCGGAGAAGTCAACAACATAAATAGTAAAGCTAAAATCGGCGCACAAGCAGGTGAAGTATCAATTCTAAAGTTGTTAATAACAGATTAATAGACTAATTTTAAAATTACTAAAGTACAGTACTATGTTTGAATAGTGTCAGGACTTGATGTTGTGTGCACTGTTTTAGTCCAACAAAACAAGAAAGACCTGCTGAAAAATGTGGTATCATTAGACGAAGCTCTTAATCTTTTAATGGGCGCCTTCCTGAGAGGTGGAACATCGTTCCTGAAAGGTGAAATCATCAAATCTGGATCTTCTGGCAACCGAGAGGTCCGAGTTTGTGTTACTCATGTGAGTAAATATTTCTTCTTTTTTGTAGAATAAAGCATGTGAAATCCCCTATTAGAGTTGCAGAGTGTAATTGTTGGGATTAGTGGACATATGAAGTCACTGCGTGAATAATATATATGCTTAAATGATCTTGTTATTTATAATTTTAGTTTCGTTCATCATTTATAATTTATTTACAGGCCTACGTGATATTTGTGCAAAACATGGGTGGCGTTTGGTTGGAACGTAACATTACAACATTCTTAGCGCATGTACTGGATTTAGTGGCAAATCCAAAGGCTGCCAGCTCCCATGTCGACGCCGTTTATTCGAGGTAAGAATGCGTTATTATGGTTTTTTAATATTTATCTGTGATGGTTGACTGTGGAATTTTACCTGCAGCTTTGTGCAATGAGCACATAAAGTCAGAAACAAAATTTCCTACTAATTTTACCCAATTAGTTCTACCCTCGAAGTCTTTGTTCCCCTTATAAATCGAACATGGGACTTTTCGAGGTGAACGGCAATAGGTATGTCCTAGAAATGCAATTTGAGTTCTCACTATCATCACTGTCGCGAACTCTTGCTTTATATTATTTTTCTACTGTTTCTACCATGTTTTTGTTTTATTGTATTGTTTTTCTGATTTTGCGATTGTCACTGAGTCGATAATTGTATTTTGTGTTTCCTCCACATTTGTGCTCCTTTCTTTGGTTTCTTCACTCCAATTTCGTACAGTCCACATCGTTCACTTCAATCACAATAGACTACATCGTATATAATCAGTAAAATAAGTATAAAACACAACTTGTACCTGTATTGAAGGTGAATATAAAATTACACTTATTATTGCAGAAAATGTATAAACTACATTTTGCGCAATACATTAGGGAAGATGTTGGGCGAGAAAGCACAGGCGTCCGCATGCCGTGAGATCATACAAATCGTCGTGAAACAAATGAACAGTATTGACTTCAACCCTGAGAATGCTAAGGACTGTAATCAGGTATGCTGCCTTCTTTCCAAATGAGAACACAAGAAATGAAAGGGCTAGAACACCAGTCCATTAAAAGATATTACTTTAGTACATAAAAAAGTTACATTAAAGTAACAGAGTTCTGACCTATGCGGGAGGCAAGCCTGGATCATAGTATAGTAAGACAAGTATGGAAACTTCATACAAATGTAACAATGTGGCTTATATGTGTGCATGCCAGACACGTGCCGTGTGCGGGCGCACACATTGCATAATCTCGCTGTGCACTCGCGTTGCATAGCGCTGCTCGTCACACGCACCATTGGTGGTCGCTCGGTGCTATTATTTTATTTATTTAATTATTAGATGTACAAAACAGTTTACATTCACTTCTTAACAAAAGCTCAAAACATTATTGCTAGTTCTAGTCTAGAATGTAAACCTAAACATGTAAATACGGCATAAGTAAACAAATTTGTTACATATTTTTGTAAAACATACCTAGATATAATAAAACTTGAACCTTAAATAAAATTACTATGACTGTAACTATGAAAGAGACTGAAACTGTGGTGCTTGTGGATTCGATTCCGAAGTCTTCTAAAATACAGTAAGAAAAATGACATCAAATAGTAGACTTGTTTATTGTTGTGTTTGCGCAAACTACCACAAACACATCAATAAACAAACAGTGCATCATATTCAGAATTGTTCAGCATTTCATAATCATACTCCATAATCAAGATACCAATCCACGATTCTGGTAATAAAATGTCAATATCAAGTACTAAGTACTGCATTTAACAAAGGTTATTTTATTATAGCACTACTGTGGTGAACACTTTAATTTTTTAAAACTGTTTACAACTTGTAGGAACAACTGACATAATATTGTAGCAAGCCGACTCTGGGCATTTACGCGCCGAATTGGCGGGATTTACCCTACTCGCTCTTATAATACTATGCCTGGACAACTTACGTACAAAGAATCAGTTTAATAGTACCTAGAATTATTTTTGGATATGTTCAGATATAAATGCATTGTATTTGAATTTTATTTTCCAATTATGAACGCTAATTTCCAGGAGACACTGTTCAGTCAACACTTGCTGGTGTGCGCATTGACGGAAGCAGGCGAATTGGCTCTGCAACTCGGCACTTCTGTGCAGAATCTCATCTCCGACACGTCCCTTAATATGATAGATACGATATGTACCGTAAGTCTTATTATTTTCTTGGCCATAAAAGTACAATGAAAGAGGGGTGGGTGTTGGGGACTGTTTTAGGTGCGTGCTGTTAAATTTAATTGTATAGTCTTCTAAGATTTCATAAAGCTACAATTAGCACTAAGGGTCCTATTTCGTAATGTGCTGATTGCAATTTCACGAAGGACCAGTGTTAATGAATAAAGTTTTGGTTTTGTGTATTCTAATTTGGCGCTGGGTTTTTCGTTTTTTGTCGACTTGTTTTTGTCATTTAACAAAAAATGAACAACCTGAAATAAATTGCAACTGCTGAAGATTTCATTGCACATTGGTCCGACATATTATAGTTAGGGGCCGTCTCGGATTTTATTATGGTTGATTTTGCAAATATTAATTTAAGGTTTGTTTTTTCCTTTTCTATATTCCTAGGTGTTGGAGCACCCTTGCGCGGCGGCGCGTCTGGCAGCGGCGTGGTGCATCCGCTGTATCTGCATCGCGCTTTCGTCGCAGATCACGCCCCTCGTCGACAAGTGTTGCGACGCGCTCGACGCGCAGAGACCCACGCCACATCACATCTCCGGTATGCCTTGCTTATTTACTGCAAGAATGCATTGACTCCTGGGAAATTAGAGAGGATAATTTTGATTGGCTTGCGGTCTGAACTCACCCTTTTTAATATAAAATATCAATTCTGACTACTGGAACGGGTAGACCATCGAGTAATTTTCTAATGACTTCGTTTGTTTTCCTTTTCTCATTTTTCTCAAAGTAATAAACTCCGAAGCGACTATACAATCTATTTACTTCGATATTAAGCGATTACGAAGGAAGGCAAACTACGCCACGTCATCATCGTAATCAATTATTGTGGCATTCTTTCGATTCATAGGCTATTCAGCGGCCTTAGCAGCGATACTGGGCGCTGTGCGGCATTCCCCGCTGGGTATCCCGCACGGACGCGGCAAGGTGGCCTTCAACGCGGCAGAGCAGCTGCTGCGTTCCGCCGCACAGAGCAGCCGGCTCACTGCAGCTCGGACTAACGCTGGGTGGCTTATTGTAGGCGCTATTTGCACTTTAGGTAAATATCCAGTGCCGAAAACATACTTTGTCAATGACTTAACTTGTCTGCCTACATACTTTACGATGGGCTACTGCAACGGAAAAGTTGACATGTAATGATTATATTATATATCTTTTAGGAGTGCCAGTAGTTCGTGGTCTGTTGCCGCGAATGTTGCTACTTTGGAGAAACAGTTTTCCACGCTCCGCTAAAGAACTTGAGTCCGAGAAGGCAAGGGGAGACGCTTTCACATGGCAGGTTAGAACTTTAGCGAATTTTTTTTAAAGGGCTTGTTGAATGGTTTGTAGGGGTTTCCTGGGTATCTATGTGATGTACTGTAACCTAGTTGCTAGTCCATAATCACGGGGACTCGTGAATATTATGATTTTTGTTTGTTACATATCTATATTACTATGTTCAAATTTTAATGGTAGTATGACGCGTAAGTGACGTGAAACAAAACTTTTTGTATAAACATTTCGTTTGGTGTACTTTAGGTAACCCTTGAGGGCCGTGCGGGTGCGCTGTCTGCACTGCATAGTTTGCTGTTATATTGCCCGTCGCTAGTGAACAACGAAGACACTGCTAAACGTCTCACGCAACCCATCGACGGGGCCATCGCGGTTCTTACCAAGTAAGTAAATAAAGTACCGGTAAAGGTAAATTATAGAAGGCACAGTTTTTTAGATAAGGCTACCGGCATTGAAACAAACGAAAGTTGTATTTCCTAACTTATCGGATTGTATTTAATCTTTGTATTTAATTTTGGACGCGTTAAACGCCTATAATGTTTACCACCTTCGTTCCATATTATTAAATTGCCCTACATTAAAATACCTTGATGTTAGTGCTTCACTCATTATTTTTCATTTTCAATTAAATTTTAGTGTTAACGTGGTCGTGCGTCAATACGGTGGGCAGCTAAAGGCACCAGCGGCCCTGCTTCGTCTACGGCTGTACCAAGCGTGCGCGGCGTTAGGAGCCGCTTACGCAGCACCCGCTGCGCCACTACTACGGCTGCTTTGCGCGGAGCTCGCAGGACTCGCAGACCCGCAATCTGCCAACGTTGCTACAGGTATAAGTGTATTTAAATTCTATCGTAATACTTATTACCTGCTCCAAGTTTGAAAGCCAGTCATATGTGTGTGTTAGTGATATGTCTGATCCTGAATTCGTTTTCGAAATGTGTGGAATTTAACATTTTAATTGGTTTTAAACGTTCGATTGATTTTCAATTTTGACGGTTAATTCACTGGTCTCTACTCAACTAGGTGTCTAGTAATGCCCCTTCAGTACATATCATACGAATAAATTTGCCCTGCTTAGTATGACCTTATATATAAATGATTATGAGATTGATGATCATGGAACATGACTCGATCACATAATCACGTGCAATTCTGTTATGAATCAACGATCATAATTTATTATTTATGGTTACCATTATTGAAATAAGTGCCTGAGCTCTTCCGAGTTTCCTTTCTGCTGTTGATTATGTCTCTGGTCTAAGTGCGTGTCTCAGTTTGTACTTCGTTGCTCTAGGTTTCCATATTTCCTTCATTATATTTCCCCAAAATTGGATGATTCCTTTTTATGGGTCTGACGTATACAACCCCATAATCTACCGGAGATGGGAGAAAGTCCATCTTCCCGGTAGTCGACCGTATGTATCACTGATACGGCGTAATCGTTTGTTTCTGACACATTCGCTAAGACTTGTCGCATCACCTGTCCAATTATTCTTTCTTACCAAGTATACATTGTACTGTAGACCGCGCTAATCAACATCTCCTCACGACTATCATTCATCTTATGTTTTCATTCTTATTGTATAATAACGCCAACTATTACAATAAAGCATTGCATTGCATGCGCACTTATCGAAATCTTCCTAGTTATGTCCCTTTCACCAATCGTTTACCAGTTCAATCTCGCATGTTCTTACTCGCGAAACTACGACGATGCGCTGCGTGCTCTTTGTTACGCGCCATACAATTATTTCTTTCATCTTGATTACATTGTTACACATATATCCCATTTATTACATGACCTGGCATCCTAGCCACTAGCAATACGTTTTTATACGTGATTAAATCCCGAATTAAAAATGAAATAATGTGTGAAATTCGTGAAAGCTAAAATCAAATCAATAGCAATTTGTTACGAAATAAATCACTATCAAAATAGCAAAATTGATTCTTGATTCTGTCTTTAGAGGGTTTGAACAAGAATATTAAAAGTGGACTAGTGTCTTCTTGAATAATTTTTTAATTTATAAATAAGCCTTTAAACAGAGTCTTGATGTTTGATGACATTAACTTTAATATTGTATCAAGGTATGCTACGACACGCTCTGCATCCTCGGGACACCATTCTGTTGGGCGAAGAGAGTTGGATATACGACACCGATCACGCCGAGATAGAGGAACAAGTAAACGTCTTCTCTTTGTAGATTGCATATATGATATATTATTTTTAATGTCTCAAACTTAAATTAGGAAAAACAGAACTCTTTTTATAAATTTATTTCGATCTCATAATGAAACGCATGTGTACTTGTAACTATAATATCACAAATATGGTTTTTTTTTACGAAATTATTCCAGAAATTCTCAATTCAATTGGGATACCTAGGTGTTTATTTTTATTATGGACATAGGTGTAACGATGTAATTTTTTCTGACAGCTGATATCTCCTCTGAGCGCAAGTGGGTCTAGCGCATTGGAACATGATCCTTGCTGCTTATACCGCAACGGCGGTGGCGCGCAACCGCTTGGCGTCGCCGTTATCGACTCCGCCGTTTCTCTCTTCCCGCAGATATTTGCCCGCGCTGCCAACAAACACAGGTGACACAAAAATTGATCTAATCGCTTTCTCTAAATCAATAAATAAATCGTTGTTACTTGAGAGTGAGTGACGTGGCCCTTATCATCAAAGACAACAAACTTTTTTCCTTTAAGGACGTAACTTCATCGTGTGAAGTTATAAAAATGAACATAAATGGTATTTCAGTGTAATTAACTCGAAAAGTCATTTATCATTCATCTGATTTTATGATATGATTGTATGTAAATGAGTGGTAACATAAATATGTAAAAGTTTTCGTGTTAAGAAAATATAATTTTGAACGATACTACAAGTTCACGTCGCCTTAACTTTGTCGACCGGTCATTTCATTCGTGCTAAATTTTACGGAGTATGCATAGGGCGCACTATAAGTTTCCGGAACTGGCCACTTACATAAACAATATTTAAAAAGTAACACAACATTTGAAAATGGAACTCTTTGGCTGTAGAATACAGTTTGTTTCATCTGACTGTCACTTGTTTTTACATTGTGGCGTCATTTTAGAAATTGGTTGTCTACATCACCATGGATTTAACTAAAAATTTTCGTAGTATGATTTTCCACGACTAAGTGTAAATTAACAGCTCAGCGGAGCTTCCCTCGTTCAAACTATTTTTGGCGATGAAGCACCATGCAAGACGACTATTTATAGCTGGTTTGCAGAATTTAAACGCGGTCGTGTGAATCTCAGTGACGAATTTCGTTATGGTCGCCCGTCCACTGCTGTGAACAACAAAAGCATCGATGCTGTGGCCGTATGACAGACAAGCATGTGACATACCATGACATTCGGGCAACTTTAGGCATAGGCATGAGTCAAATAAAATCAATACTACACAAACATTTGCGTGGGAAAAAGCTGTGCTCTTGGTGGATCCCACACAATTTGACTGAGGCTCAAAAAACGGATCGCGTCTCTTGGCGCAATGCCATGTTTACCAGATTCAACGAAGGGGCGTCAAATTTGGGTGGGACATAGTAACAGGTAACGAAACATGGATTTATAGTTACGATACCAAAACAATGCAGCAATCGAGCGTATGGGTCTTTCGAGATGAGCCGAAACCAACCAAAGTGGCGCGCGTGCAAAATACCTCTAAGCGGATGATTGTTTCTAAAAAAAAAAACTGCATACGTGGCTACTGTTGGTTTGGAGAATCGTTGTACCGTGAATAGTGATTGGTAGACGACCATTTGTTTGCCGGAAGTTATTGACAAACTCCGTAAAAATAACCGTAAACGCCGTATCATCTTGCACCACGATAATGCCAGTTCTCACACGGCCAGACAGACAAATGAATTTATGAAGGTGAACAACGTTGACCTTAACAGCCATCCTGCGTGCAGTCCCTACCTGGCACCTTGTGCCTTTTATTTATTTCCAAAAGTTAAGAACCAGTTACGCGGTCAACAATTTTCATCACCTGAGGAGGCTGTCGAAGAGTATGAAAAATATGTTTCAGAGATTGTCACGGAGGAGTGGCATAAATATTTTCTAAATTCGTTCATTCGTATGAAAAAGTACATTAACGCTAACGGAGAATGTTTTGAGAAACAATAAATTCATTTCTCGCCATTTATAATATTTTTTGTTATTCATTCCGGAAACATATAGTGCGCCCCACGTAGTACATTTCTATTTGGATATTTTAATACGAATTGGTAACTATGTGTCAAGTACTAAGCATGAAAATAGTATCCTCAATAAGCACGTAATAAACAAAATAATAAACTGGTCATAAAGCGTAAATGTTTTTCAGGCAACAAATGCTAGAGCACTTTGTTGAATGCATAAAGATGGCGAAAGGACAGCGCCAAGAGGCGATCCAGGTCAACGTGTTTACTGCGTTATTGCTCGCGTTGCGCATGCTCGCTGAGCTCAAGAGTTCGCTTGGACAGGAGCCCGTTAAGACCGCTGCCACGGAACTCATTATTGTGAGTTTTTGTAATATATGTTCTTGTTCAATAATAATTAGTGTCTTTTATGAGCATAATAGGTCAAACTTATTGTATTATCATTTAAAATGTATGTTACGAAATATTTGCATAAGAAAAAGACCATATCGACTGTGAAATGGCAATCGGTACTATCTCAATTTTGACAACTTTATAGGATGAAGAAAAAAATGTTTGCGTCATTTGTATACTATTTGGTTTATTAGATAAAAATACCTACTTTTTAAATATTTTTATTACACATGTATGTATGTACACTACTTTTTTTTTAATAAACGAGATGCTGTATATATGATTTTTCCTTCGCCTGTAACGTTTTAAAATTCAGATAGTACCGATTGCCAGTTCACAGTCGATATTCAAAATTGTCCTATTACTATGTGGATGCTGACGTATTATTTAATTATACTCGCGCTTCTTTCCCCGAGGGTGAGATTAAAATCTAAATCTAGTCTAAATTACAATGGAACAGTACAAGGTACTATTTAGGGTCCTTTGAAGATTTTTGGATTTTTAGCAAGATGATAATGTATCCGAATGAGAATTTGACATTAAAACATGTCCTTACGTTGGTTACGACACACAGGATGCAGAATAAAAACTGACTCATATAAGATCAAAGCCAAATGTGGGTTTCATTAGCAATGGCAAGTACTATTTCTGAAGGGCACTTTCTAGTTGGCCGCTGCTGGCCTTGTTTGCGCCACCGGATGAATGGGCGAGCTGAAGTTCTTAACCCGATAAACGTGGCAAGTCCATGAGTCGCGAATCTTTATACTAGCGAGATAGCAATACATCCAGCAGTAGGGCTAGCACGACAGGGCGCGACGAGAGCGACTTAAAGCGTGGCATACCGCTATCCTTGCATAGAGATCTCGCGCTGTATGTCGCTCGCGCGCAAGCCGCGTCGCGTCATGCTAGCCCTCGTACTACTGTCTCGCTTTTGCAAATAATGTAGGTCTTCTGACTGGTTAATTGTTATTCAACACTAACCAATAACTAGAGAGAATACTATTTCGCGCTTTTAGATTAATATAAATATTGCGACATTTGTCAATAAATGTGTTCTGGTTCTGGTTCCAACTCTTATCAGCGTTTGACTGAAAAGTACCCGCATCTAAATTATCACGAAGAGCACCTAGATTGGTGACCCGAAGCTCCTAAAACACACAGAAAAGACAACACGTACCAATCTCATGCTATTCTCTACGGTCGAAGTAATTGGTATAATTATGATCTAACTTCTCTAACAAGTAAATTCGTTTATTAACAATTACTTACTTCGCTGGCTCAGCGACCCGATGTTGATCTTGGGCTCCGACAACAAAGTACACCATTTCTTATAGTCTTGTGGCAGTTCCAACAGGCTAGGTCGCCACAAATACACTCTTTTGGCAGCTCAATCCTTCCCCATTCTTTCCACATGCCCCAGGCAGCGTAGTCGGGCGGATTTTACTTCCCCGATCTCAAGACAAAAGTTTTCGACCAGTGTGTGTTGTCAGAGATGACTTAAGGCACCGAGACGTGGTCGCTCACTATGGACCTCATAAGAAGGCTCAAGATTCACCCAAAGGGCAATGGAAAGGGTCATGCTCGGAGTTTCACTGCGAGATCGAATCAATAATGAGGATATCCGCAGGGGAACCAGAATAACCGACATAGCCCAAAGAATTGCAAGACTTAAGTGGCAATGGGCAGGGCACATTGCTCGCAGAACAAATAGCCGATGGGGCCGAAGAGTTCTGGAGTGCGACCGCGTACTGGAAGACGCAATGTGATCGACTACCCACAAGGTGGACTGGTGGCCTGGTGACGGTTGCGGGAATCCGCTGAATGCAAGCGGCGCAGGACAAGTCGTTGTGGCATTATTTGGGGGAGACACGTCCACCGCTGAACATATCAGCAGTGAACGTCTTTCGGCTGAAATGATGATGATGAAACGAATTTACCTCTTCTCTAATCTTAGCTAAGATGTACAGCAGCCCTTCAAAAAGTGTTAGTGTCCAAATTACTAAGCACAGCTACAAAGATTCGTGTCTCCGGAACAGTAATTAGGCTAGTCTTAACGTATGAGTGTGAAACATGGACACTAACGCTGAAAGAAGAACGTAAATTATTAGTGGTAGAACGAAAGATGTTCCGAAAGCTTCTGCGACCAATCAAGGGAGAATTTGGGAACTGGAGGACCAGACTCAATACAGAGATCGAAGAGTGCGTGTCTGAGCCAAACAGAATCGGGGAAATTCGTTTAGTCACTAAATATAAGTTGTGACATTTTTGAACACTCCTTTGTTATTCTTACCTAATATGTAAAAGACAGAATCAAATCTTCCATTATACATATACTTCCGTTATACTTCCGTTATACAGGCGGGGTTGTCTTCGGGTAGCGTCATAGTCCGTGCAGCAGCCGCGTCGTGTGCCGGTCGCCTCTGCGGCTGCATTACCGAAGCTGAGAGCCAGGCGCTCAGCGAGCGGGTCATCCTTCTCGCCCGCACTTCACAGAATAGGTAACGTATTTTCTAATATTATTTCCATGATTCATTAACAATTCGACGACTTGTACTCCGATAACAATCAAAAGCTGCTTAAATGACTGTCCCATTCACATATCATCCCAGACATCGAGTACATTGGCCAGCGGGTGACGGGTATTGTCAATTGTTTCACTTCAAAAGAGCCAGTTTAACTTGAACTTTGCTATAATGGACGAAAATTGATATATATGATAATTTAATAATTAATTGATGAAATGTAATTCCGTTCCGTTTGTTTTGTAATTAGATGTTTTGCTGTTTTTCTCAAACCACCGAATGGAACAGCCTCGCATAGTTAGAGATATTATCTTTATTATAATAATAACGTACACACTCAACATAGCCCCGCACTAGGGAAACCCTGTGTCGCGGGTGCCATGGATACACACGTAGACAACCACAAGTTACACCCAAACTTACGAGAGAAAATAAATGTAGGCCATACAAATATTTCTCCCGACCCGGGAATCGAACCTGGGACCTCTGCATGGCAGTCCGGCTTGGTAACCGTTCGGCCATGGAGGCAGTTAAATTACAATAAATACAGTATATTTTTGGGATATAATAAGTATAGAATATTTTTGGAATATACGGAGACGTACACACAGGTCAGTTGTTGGCGCTGTACTATTTCAGCTTTCTAATTTGTGATTTCAGCGGAAACGAGAGTTGATATTTAAAAGTAATATCAGTACCATTTGACTGACGAGTTGACAGGGATGGATGGATCTTATTTCGTATTTATTTCTGGTTATGATCTCAGAGATGCAGAATGTTAAATTTACAGAATGTTGTGTTTTGTTTTTCTTTTCTCTACTTACCTAAACGTTTCAATTATATAAATGGACGTCTTCACAAACAGGCCAGTAAGAGCAGCGGCGGCAGCAGCTGTGGGCGCAGTACAACGGGCGAGGGGGGCTGCATCGAGCGCTGCGGCGCTACCCGTGCTTAGAAGCTTGGCGCAAGATCGTGGCGCCACTGAAGTACAGGTAACAATAAAAATGTATATTTATTTATAAACGCCTAATATAATTTTAATGAAATCCATGTTATTAACAAAATGCAAGACGCAATCGGCTGTGATGTAGCAATCGTAGTTCAAGAAAAATCTAAATTAACCCTTTCACGCATAGTGCTTAAATAGTAGCACACAAAAATGTCAGTACTTTTCAAGTTGAATGTATGTAAATCATTGAATTTTGTGAGTACATATTACTTACTTATTTTAAATTTCGAATAGGTGTGGTCACTGCACGCGTTGTCAGTGTTAGTCTTCTTTATTTAAATATAAATGTTACTATTTTATATGTTCTCAATCGTTAATAATTTTTTTTAAGAAACTAAATGCATGTTTATTTGTAACGATTCGTATTACTTACTTGTTTTAAATTTCGAATAGGTGTGGTCACTGCACGCGTTGTCAGTGTTAGTGGACGCTTCCGGGCCGATGTTTCGCGGACACGTGGAGTCCACTCTCACGCTTGCACTCAAGCTGCAGTTCAGCGCGCCTCCCTTCCTCGAAGACATGCATCGCAGCATTGGCCGGCTGCTCTCGGCGCTGATCACCGTCGTTGGACCCGAGTTGCAAGGTACAATGGAGTACATTGTAGTTCTATCTAAACTACTAATGACCCGGTGTAGGACTACAGATCTCAAAGAGAAAGTTTTGACTTTCTCGTTACGCTTCGCAGAGGGCTAGTTTTGTGATGAAGCTGTAATTGTCAGATGATTTTGCTTTTAATGATTGCATAGATTTGTTGATATTAGTTTCAATAAGAAAAAGAGAACTAAAGCTGACGGTTTGAAACAACTGACAAAATAGGTACATTCGTATTTAATTCATCGATTTTTAGAAAATGAATTTTCCTTTTGTAACCTGTGTATGTACAGTGATGGGCGGCGGCGCGGTGACACGATTTGTGTGCGCATGCGAAGCACTGCTGGAGTGCGGAGGCGGCGCGCGCGCAGAGGCGCTCGGTTGCCTGCAGCAGCTGCAGATGTTCGCGCCCCGCCACATTAACCTCCATTCCCTTGTCCCTCAACTCTGTGTGAGTATAATAACATTCGTATACTGCGTTAATGGACATGTAATATTACAATCATATATATATAAATAAAATATACAATTTATAATAAAAAAGGTCACTGTTGTAATTATTAAATGTTTGAAATTATTCAAGTAAATTACTAGAGGTGCCATGAGTTTGTTATCCAGGTGAGAGTCAAGAAAGTTATCACCTTTTGGAAGTGTTCTATGAATCGAACCTTATTGTTGTTAGCGCGATTTATCAAGTCCGGAGCTGGCGGTTCGCCGCGCTGCACTTTGTTGCCTGCGTCAACTGTCACAGAAGGAAGCTGCGGAAGTCTGCCGCTACGCGTTGCTCGCTAAGGACCACGTCCCTGCCAAGCCGTATTGTGGTACAATTTTTGCATATTTCATTTAAGAAAGTTGATAGCGACTAAAGTCAATGCAGTATTCGAGATTTCCTCTTAATATTAATTCTATTTAAGCTCTCTTTGAAAGAACAGAAACAGCACTCGTAGTTTAATATGTTTAATGTAATAATACATCTTTAACTTATGTAGCACGTATATACATCGTGTGACTGACGTAATATGTTTATAATGTACGTCAGTTTGTATAGTACCTGGTCTACATATATAATTCATTCATCCACAGGCGTAATAATAACAGATACAGGCTTGCCGGGTGCGCTATTCGCATATCTGGACATCGAGCGTGACGAAACTGCGCTATCCTACGCTCGAGATACCCTGACTTGTTGCCTCCTCGCCGCGGCGGCTGCACGATCCATAAAGAACTGGCTCACACTCGCTAAACGCGTCCTTACAGTGCGGTCGGGTAAGAACTAAATTTTTAGCAAAACGTAGAGAAGAGATGTATTTCAGCAACCAGTAGCATCGCGCTGTTTTCAAATCAAATAAAATACATCAGGATCAACCAAAATGAAAGAATAAAATATAATCGAATGCAGTCTCATGCAATGAACATGATCGGGCAGTCAATCCTACCAGCCACAACGCGAATAATGTAATTTGAGCTGCCACAGATACTGCTTAGCAACAAGGCAGCTCTTTTTCTAAGAATAGCGTGGAAGCCATCCGTGTGAGCTTCTTCGAACATGCCTGATACGCTGCAGAACCATGGTAATCCCAGCAATACTCTAAACGCATTGTTGCACTGAATGCGCAGGGCGTTAATTGACTTCTGCTTGTCAACAGTTAACCCACAGATTACACGTATAAAAGGATTGACAGAATGCTTTGCAAAGTTTTACTTTAACAGGTACTGTACACCGTGCATATATGTGAGCTAACATATGGCTTCTAACAGCCAACGCCTGACGCTCTCTCTCAACGTCCTCATATCCATGAGGTTCTCCTACACCCAGTGGCCCAGATACTTAAACCGGGAAACTCTATTTTAACTCAACACATCATCGTTCAAATAGACGACTGATACTGTGAGGTGATCCTGTGACCCCGAGAGTGAAACATGAACTCGCTTTTTTTACATTATATCTGTGGCCATGGGCCCCAGTGTAATCCTCCCAGTAAATCAAAGCCAGTAAATCCCTTATCTTTAGTAGTTTTCTCAAGGCGCTTATTGAGGGAACCAGCAAAACCATGTCGTCTGCATAATTAAGGGACTATGCACACGGCGTATTTTCACGGCGCGTAAACGCGAGTCGTCGGCGCGTATAAGCGCCGCAGACGCACTGTAGTCGCGCGTATGCATCGCGCATTTTGATAAGTTTTAATTTTAACTCTGTTTGTTAATTTTAATTAGTTTTTGAAATGAAGCAACTTCATGAAATTCTAAGTATAAACTCCAGTGGAGTACATAAGCAGCTTGCTTGCAACGCGATGTTTACGCGCGTTTGAATCGATTCACTACAGCGCTCTTGTGGGGCGTACACGCGCAGATGACACGCGTTTACGACGCTGTTTCGTTAAATGTACGTCGTCGGTGCGTATAAAATACGCTGTGTGCATAGGCTCTAAGATTATTTATAAATTTACCATCTATTGAAGCCGCCCTGAGCTCTGCCGAGTTCATCGACAAGTCCATTAACATACAAGTTAAAGAGGCGACGTGTCCTCATTTTACTCCAGAGCAACTCATAGTACACCGAATCGAAGGCCCCGAAAAGCCTAAGGCTGGAGTTTTTCTGTATAATAGCGAACAGTATGCTTTAGGCACAGCATCGAAGTCGCCGTAGACAATCCATACCGGAATCCAAACTGCATCATTCAACTTCAGATTACTGTCCAAAGTGCGATTAAGCAGACCGTGCAGTACTTTCGACACGATAAACAATAAAATAGGCCTATAGTTGCTCTTATCAGAGGGATCTCCTTAAGAGCTTTTATTTTTGATTATTGGTACAACTACCGTTTTCATCATTCCGAAGGCAAATACGAGTGACGCACACGAAACGTATAAAACATTGAAAGAATCCTCGGTAAATGCACACCCGCATGCCGCAGGTGCTCAATACTAAGTCCATCATACCCAGGGGACTTTCCCCTGTAATTTTTTTTATTATAAAGTTTTGACTAAGCGTCAAAAATATTATGATTTATGAAACAGAGCTGTTCGCACCTCCCATTTCATGTTAATGGAGAATAAACCTGTCTTTACGTGACATTGTTGCTTTTTTAATTAGCTCATTATACATTTCACTGTAGTGCACGGGTTTTTTTTAAAGAGAAGGTCATGGGGTACATGTCGTCACAGATTCGAACCGGCGGCCTTTCTTAATTAATTAGCAAGCGAATAAGACTTAACGTCATGATTTTTTTAAGTTTTATTAAATTCGGTAGTGGTTTTTGCACTTTGATTTCTCATATTTTAACCAATCCTATTAACGCGAAATCTGCTCATGCTGATCAGATAAAGTTTTATGTTCATGCAATGGGAACGAAAAAGTAGTTATGCGTTTCGCGGCTTTTTCGCTCTTATTACCAATACACAAAATTTTGTATGACCAGCGAAATGCAATTCCGTTTCAATAAGCATGGTGACTCATTAATAATAATTTGTTACATCGTTTTTAGGTGAAGGCTTTGAGCTAACGATTGCAATGGTTTTTTATAGAAGACGGCAACAACACTGAGAATGATTTTGACGCTGAGGGAGATGATGATCAGGCTGAGTTCCACGCCGAGTCAGAGCAGGTCACGCATCCCGCTGTGCAGTCGAGGTGGCCTACCAGGGTTAGTTATTATTAAGTTAGGTGTTCTTAAGCCTGTCACCCATCTAAACGGAAAATAGAGAAGGCTGTTTTGCACATCCAGGTCAGAATAAATGAATAAATATAATAAATGAATGAATTTAATTTCCCAAATATGGGCATACCAGGAGTCGAACCCATTACCTCCTCATATCGCTCACAGGGACAACTCAGCCCCAGGGCCGCTATGTTCGTCAATTAAGTATCAAATATTGTTGTTTTTGGTTTTATATTATTTGCAATTGGCATAATGGCTACAGCATTCTACGATAGTGACGGCAACTTGTATAATGCTAGTATCCGATACGTCACGGTTAACGGTCATCGTCGGTTATGTACTCGATGTCCGTGTAACAACACATGTAATATGATCGTGGACGTTTATACTATGTCTCTCTTTTGTCCGTCAATGATTTAAATAATCTATAAACTTTGTTATAAAACACCTGTTTTCTGCACTAATAGGTTCATGTACTAAATGATAGGTTAATTTATAGGAAGCCAGACTTTTGAGCGTGCCCTTTACAGGTATTCGCAATGGAATGCATTCAGAAGATAATGACTGCTTGCGAAGCAACTGGCGACAGCGCGCATTTCGATTTGGTAAAGGCCAAGGAAAAACAACTCACTGATCCGAATGGTAAGAAAGTTATATTCGCGGTGCTTTTAACCCGTTTATAATTTAGAAGAAAAATACTTACTTTTACTCGTAAACAATTGATACAAAATTATATGGAAGAACATATAATAAGTTTCAAAATGGACCCCACTTGACGTTTTCGGATTTATGAAGGCCAAACAATTGCGACTCTTATATTTTGTTGAAGCCATGTAGCAGTTTGTTAGTTTCAAACATTGACCTACCAACAAATGGACATCGGGTCTAATACAAAAACCACGAAAAAAATGTCCGAGGTTAACCTATACAAACGTAGTGACATGTAACGAAATATAAAAAACTAAAACATTTAATTTAAATTGTAACGTCGTTGCATATGTAAATAGTCTTTCTCGTAAATATTAATTATTTTTTTTATATATATTATTATGTCGAATTTTGTACAAATTTACTTAAAGGTATAATAAATTGTTGGGCAGATACATACATACAAATATTACTACAAATGTGAAAATAAGCGTGTACTATAAGAAATGTACCGATATTCTAACTAAACGTAAACTCAAATATCCGTAATTCCGATTTATAACAAAACCGTTACGCTTTCGAGTAATTTTGATGCTTTTTACATAGACAAAATTTCGTAAAAACACATTATGAAAATTCGAGCAAATGTTATTTCGGGCAAATGTATTTTTTGAGTTCTGATAGGTAATCCCATGCCGTAAAACGAGTACAACAATATTTTGTTTGTTGCTAACGTTTAATAAAAAAAATCATTTTAAAAATAAGATAAAATCAAAGCAACTCTACAGTTTCTTTGTTCTAAATATTTAAATCGCTTGTGGTTTTTAACTATTGAAAATGACCAAGAAGTTTATATAAGCTTCTTGAAACTGACGTAATGGGTCCCTTTCCATCTTTTGCGCATGCAGTGAATACAAAAAGGACAGTTAGCTATTCATTATTTCGTGCTTTTGTAATTTATATTTACGATTCAGTTATTAACTGCCTCCGTGGCCGAACGGTTACCACGCCGGACTGCCACGCAGAGGTCCCAGGTTCGATTCCCGGGCCGGGAGAAATATTTGTATGACCTACATTTATT